GGGGTCTACAGCAGGTATGTAGTTTGGGTCTGTAGGGTCCTCATTGGCAGCGAAGGCCTGGTTCTGTAGTCCGCTGTCAGGGGAGGAGTCCTCGGGGTCGGGGCTTTGATCGAGCAGCGCTTTGTTTTTCTTTAACACAAGTTTTTTCCCAAACATGCGGAACAGATATGCGGCGACGGAAACTTCAGCTATCTGCAGAGAAAACAAAGACAGGAGCAGTGCCCCCCCCATCAGCCAGGCTAATTACAGCTGGAACAGTCAGACTCTGGTGTTTGTTGGTACCTGCAGCAGAATGAGGATTGCATCCATTGCGATGATTGTCAGGAAGTTCCCCTGCAGCCAACTACCGATCGTCTCAATGCAGTTCTGACAAATCAAACATGGCGTCAGTAAACCACTCAGTCAGCCTCCAAACATCTAAATCTATTTAACCACATATTTTTGCATTCTATAGAAACAGAATTTATGTCTTTTTGTGAAGTTTAAAAGAACATCAAATATCATTCTAACTCTCAAACCAGGATCCAGTATGAATATGCTGCAGTTGGTATTTAGGAGTTCATCACAGACTCCTCATCAGTACCTGAGTAAAAAGTTTACTTCCATTTTTAATCCCCAGCCCAGAGAACGAGCTGTTTGCCGAACACCAGAACGAGTTGAAACCACCGGGTTGAACGTAACTGAAGCAGGAACATGGCGCCACAACCGGACTCGTCAGGTTCAGAGTTTTAATGAAGCTGTTGTTGAGCCAGTCAGCAGGACCTTTGTAGCCACAGCACTTCGCCTGTGAGCCAGAATCAAGCTGAATATTAAGGATGGGTCCAACTTTAAGCAGGACAGAAGCATCAGCAGAGAGACTCACCGAATGCTGAATGCTGTCCATTATTCTGCTGCCGCTGCTGTCGCTGCTGTTCCCGTACTGGAAGATGATCTGATCCACAGACTCTGTCAAACTTTTCTCAATCTGATCACAGAAAACAAACGTCAGCTGCCATCTTTGAAAAGAATAAAACAAGTTAGAACTTAAAAGGAATTGAAATGCAATCTAAGATGGACCCGTTTAACATTTCTGGGACTTTAATTAAAACCAAACATAAAACACTTGTTTTGGTTTATTAATACTTTAAACCTGGAGCTAAGGGAGTTGTGGAGCCTCCAGCCTGGTACCAGTCAGCGTGCCCCAGGGCAGCTGTGGCTGTAATGTAGCTCATCACCACCAGCATATGAATGAATGATGGAATGACTGAATGTGCTGCTTTGATAAAGCTCTATTCAGCTACAGTCCATTTACCATTAATTATGGGTTAAAGTATCACTTATACATCACTAAACAGAGAATTTATGCAGCCATGTTGGGTTAATGATGTTGCTTCAGAAACCTCCAGAATGTCCAGCCAGTCACACAGCTTAAAGCTGGAGAGCTTTAAACTAACTGACCTTTCCATGTGAAAACGTTAAGGAGGACCTACCTTGCTTCTATTAAAAAGGAGCAGGAAAGTCACAAACAACTGACCCAGAACCAGAACAATGAGGAATCCCAGGTACTGTGGAAGGAGATAGTTCAGCGTTTGAGCAGCATGCAGCAGGTAGCGCTATGAGTCACCTCTGTGTAACTGATAGAAGTAAAACGGGCCGTAGAGAAGCCCAGCAGGTCAGAGGATGCAGAGACTCACCACCAGCAGCATGAACCTTTTCTCCATGGTGGCTCCAGCACATCCGGTGAGGCTGATCAACACCACCACGCCGCCGATCATAAACAGGCCTGATGCCACCACACGAAGCTCCTCTGCCACAAACACAGAAAACCACAAATCACGGCTTCCATTACCTCCTTTGTCTGAAGAATCTCTCTATACTTCTGTGAAGCTCCTCCATTCACTCTGTGATGCAGCAGAATTAGTGCAAAGCAGCCAGGAAGCTCTTCACTGTAAAATATTTCATCCTCAAAGTTCAACACAAAACATCCCAGAATAAAAAGGAACAGTTTAGTTGAAAATGTTGCAAATTCAATAGAACAATGTGAAAATAATCTTAATTTAAGGTGTTGCACGGTGGGGCAGTTTGCTGCCTCTGCAGTAAGAAAGTTCCTGGTCCGATTCCTCATATCTGTCTACATGGAGTTTGCATGTTCTCCTTCTGCATCTTTGGATACTCTGGCTTCTTCCCACAGTCCAAGAACATGACTGTAAGGGATGCTTATCCTCCTGCAGCAGTGTGGCGCAGTGAGCTTGATGCAGACATTTTTGATTTATGTTCAATATTGACGCGTGGTCTGCTCTACACGCTGTGGGTCTAGATACTGCCGAGGCGGAGAGGAAGTGGGGGCGAGTTTAGTCCGACATCGGAGGGACATGACGGCGATAAAGAGCGGGGATCCAGGTGGAAAAAGGGTCCCAGCGTTCTGACGCACCTCGATGTTCTAGCTGCTCCATCTTCACTAGTTTTTTTCTGCAATTTCGGTCATAAAAACAAAGCAAGCCGGCCTCCTGTCAGGTATAATTTGGGAGAGGTGCAGGGGAATGTCTGCAGAGGGGACGGCTTTTTGTTCACTGCAACATCTACGCAGATGACGTGGTTTCGAAATGTAAATTGGCCTTTAGTGTGGAAGAAACAACAGGCGGCCCAGACAGGATTTAATCTCCAGACTATCAGGTGGAAACCAGGCATGCTGACCAGTCAGCCAAAGGGACAATTAACCAAGAAGCAAGATCAGTCAGAGCCACAGTGAAAGGACCAAACTGTCACATTAGATGGGTCTCTAAATTCTCCTTAGGTGTGTGTGCTGTGTTCATTTCGTCAGCTTTTTTTTTTTTATTTAGTCACAATAACAAAAATCAATTTTAGTCTTAGTTATATTTTAGTCATTGTTAGTTTTGTCATTTTAGTCAACACTGTAAAGAATGAAATTCCTCAGACACTGTTTCTCTTTTTCTCTATTTTATTTATATAACACTGTGCAGAATAGAACTTCACACACTGATTCTCTTTTTCTCTATTTTATTTATATAACACTGTGCAGAATAGAACGTCACTCACTGATTATCTATTTAACATATATCCTCTGCACACATTGAACCTTCTGTCAGCTTGTTTCATCATATCCACTTGGTCTTCATCCTCAAACAGACTTCCCTTCCCTAACCTCTGATCTGGCTGTGATGTCACTGGGTCAGGAATCTAGTTGGGAGGAATAAATTTAAAGGATTAATATCCAGAGTATCAGTAGAACATCTTTCTTCTATGACAGAGAGACAGACAGATACAGGAAGGCACACACACCTGTTCCCGCCACTACAGGCCCACCTGTTCCTTACCTTCCGTATGGCAGCATGTCGGCTCCTCAGATGTTGCTGGAGATTCGCTGTGTTCTTTCCTGCCATTTTGAAGCAGCAGACTCTTTGGTGGCGTTCTTCTTCCGGTGTTTTCCTTCGCGTTGAAAACGAAATGGCTCCATGCATCCAGGCGTTGTTTTCGTCCAACTCGTCCAACAAACCGCACACCGGTACCTGAGCCCCCGCCATGACTGCGAAGTTGAGCTATGAGTATAAACCCTCTGCTTCTACTGACTGAGCGGCGTGAGGCGCTGTGGGACAGGCGCCATGTGGGACAAACAGCGCAACAACGAGTAATCTTCTATGAAGCTCAAGAAACACTTATATTAACAATTACAAATTAATTATAAACATTTACATTTCTTAATGTCCAGTTGTCAATGGATCGTAGATTTTGTCTGTCTTAGTCTCGTTGACGAAAATCGCTTTTTATTTCTGTCATTTCTATTTTCTGGAAACTATTTTTGTGCGTCATCGTCTCGTCATCGTCGTAAAAAAGGGGCGTTGACAACATATTTTGATCATCATCCTGGTTGATGAAATTAACACTGCGTGTGCAGGTCGTCTGCAAACGCAGACGTCTCCTCCACAGACACTCTGCTGCTCCTCTCCAAACTTGTAGGTGAGCGCAGACAGGAGGCCTCTGATTGGTCAATTCCACATCCGCTCTACTCTATGCGTACTTCCTGTTTGGTTCCTTACCAGCTTGTGTTGTTTGTCTGACCTCCATTGTGGAAAACGACTGAAGATGGAGCAGCTAGAAGAGCGAGGTGCGTGAGAACGCTGGGACCCTTTTTCCACCTGGATCCCCGCTCTTTTTGGCCCTCATGTCCCTCCATTGTTGCACAAACCTGCCCCCACTTCCTCGCCGCCTCGGCCGTATCTAGACCCACAGCTATTTCCTGATTGGCCCTCTGGCGTTGTGGCGTGGAATAACAGCGCAGACCACGCTTCAATATTGGGCAGAAATGAAAAATGTCTGCGACACGCTGCTGCAGGAGTATAACCAGCAGATCTGATGTCACCCTGAGAACTTCTGGAGAAAGGAAAGAATACGTGATTCCTCTGCTTCTTTCTAAAAGGCTTCATCTCTCCTGTTTGTTTCTTTACTAGTTTACAGCTTTTCTTACCTTTTTTGGTTCTTACGGTATATATATATATTTTTCCATTTGTTTTGTGTCTCTGCAAGTCTCTTTTTTGTGTCAGCGGTACTTTAGGTATTTGCTACCTGTTATCCTCTCCAAACGACCCGTTTTAAAGTGTTTAGAACTAATAACTCAGAGTACATGAAAATCCCACCGGTAAAAAGTTTACAGATATAAACCTGTTAGACATTGTTGGAAACAATGGCGTAACGACACAACAATAAGCTACATTATCTGGGTGGGCCCCATATGAAGTACAACTCGCCATAGCAGCCTGTCAACATGTAAACAAAGCAGCCACAACAAGCAAGCAGGTCTTTATTACTGCTGTTCAAACAAGACCTTTTATGTTTGAGAGGAATTAAAAAAAACAACTTTGAGTCATGCTTGAACTGATGCAGCTTGACCTGCGTTTTACTCACCCAATTATATTTTTAGAAACTAGAGGATGTTAGCTTTCATAAATGTATTGCACATGTAATTTGGGCTTACAGTTCTTAAGTTAATTGCTTTTCTGTTTGGGTAAGCAAAATAGGAGAGGATTACCCAAAATAAGGTGGATGTTAAGAGGTTGAGTATTTGAAGTACGTTTGTTCCTCTCAGTCAGTTTTTACCCAAGTTGGACTGTTTACCCCCCAGTGAATAAATGTTCTAAAGTTTAAATGTTTCTGTGGGAAAATGTTGCTGCACTTAATCTTGAGTCCATTCAACATTTCTGAAGCATCTTTAAAGCTGGGGACTTGTTACCGGAGGAGAGAACCTGGAGGAAGTTTCCGGTGTCAAAGAGGATCCAGATTCCGCAACCCATAACGCTCAGACCCAGAACCTGCAGAGAAGATCCAAATGAGGCACAATTATCAACCCTTCAACATTTCATTCAGGTGAAACAAGTTTAGCTTCCATGCAAAACACGGAGAGTGGAGGATAAGGGAGAGTTGGAGCCGTTTTCTGCAGCTGAGAGTCTTTGATCCAAGAGCCGCTTAGTAGGGATGGGCCCTACGGATAACAGTCTGGAAATAAAGGATGGAGCTCCGGCCTGCATCACTAAGTTTAAAGATATGCTTTAGACCCCGATGGAGCCGGTGGGGAGTGGTGGTCCTCAGAGCCCACCCTCTATAGGGGCCCTGCATTATAAATCCAAGTTTGCTATTATAAAAATACTGGCGTTAAATTTATTCTTTAAAAAAAATTATACACACCAATGATTATCTTCTTTAATTGGAAAATGTCAGGTGCAGCTTTAAACAAACCTTTAATTTATCACTATTTCACTTTTATTGCAGATTGGACAACAAAGATCCAGCTGAAGAACAGTTTTGGAAGGAAAACTTATTTAAGCAAAATGGTTTCATGTTCCTTTTGAAGAGACATAAAATTATATCATTTGCTGTTTACTTTATGTTTTTTTTTTTT